TTAATTGAATAACAAGATATTAATTAATGATTCGGACGAAACTAAGTTAGGAATTCGCCACGAATCTTTATAAACTAGTAAACAAATGCCTCAAATAAATCATGATTTTATTGTATGATCAACTCATAAAGCAAAATAAACAAGAAAATTTATAACACCATAAGAATGCTTTGTATTATATTAGATTTGTAAATCATCTAAAGATTCATCAATTTGTTTCAACTTTAAGAAAACATCACAACCATAACCATGTAAAGAAATTAGATCCATTGAACCACCAAAATATTTAGCGTAAATACGAGCTAAGGGTAATCCATAACCAAGACCAGCAATGGGACCACCTAATCCAGATTGCATAGCCATCTTACTTACACCTGCAAATATATTCTCCTTAGTATTACAACTTCCACCACCGATATCATCTTGAGGTACGGTGGTATAAGAATAATCAAATATCGAAGGTAAATCTTTAGCAGGAACGCCACCACCCTGATCTCTCACTCTAATACCAATGAAATTTTTACCTTTTGAGATGGTAACAGTAACATGAGGAAATTCTACTCTACCAATTTTTTGGGTATATTCAACGGTAGCCCTACAAGAATTTTTTAATATTTCTGATATGATGTACTCCAAATGTACAGGTACGTAAGTAAATGTTGTATCTATTTGTCCATTAACTAAAATATCTGGCGTTGAACCATAATGTATTTCACATAATTCTTTAACAAAATTTGAACATGATTGAATAAGTTGTCTTGGTTCTAACTTTGTATCTATTATACCAATATATGATGAATTATTTAAATCATGTAATGCTATATGTTGTTCTGCTATTAATCTTGTACCTATACGTGCGTGTATCATATCATCAAGAAAATTTTTTATATCTTCTGATAGCATATATTTTTTACATTCTTGGAAACCTTTAAAGAAAAAAATGTTCGCTTTATTTAGATTACTTTTTTTTTTTAAAAAAAACTAAAAAAAAAAAGATACCTTTGGCTAAAGTAGGAATATTATCAGAATGAGAAGAAACCATATTTCTCAACATTTCAGCAAATTTCTTATCAGTTTCCTCATTATTAATGCGTTCAGGAAATGATCTTATTAATTCAAAAGAATCAAAATACAATTTATAAATACTTTTGATATATGGATTTGTTCCTACTATAAATGGTAAATTTTGCAAGGCCTTTACTCTTCTTGCTAATCGAACTGGCAATTCCGAACGTGTATAATTTGCTGACTCAAATAATTTTGAAGTACTTAATGGTGGTTGTCCAAATCGAATTAATTCTTTTAACGTAACTGGTCTAATAGATTTTTCAGCATATTTTGTTACTTTATCATCATAGAATGATACTATCATTTCATGTTGAGTGCTATATGGACGAGTATTACGGAAAAATTGCAGCGATTGGTGAGAAGAAAGGATATCATAGAAAAATTTACTTGGCTTGTTAAATCCACGAATATTTGATATTGTCATGTTTTAAAATGTAGAGATTTTCAAAGAACGTTTTATTAAAAATGAGTATTAAATATCAAGTTGTATGAAATCAGTCAAAGCAATCGAAACTTTTGGAGGAATGTATAGTAGTATATTGCTGTCTTGCATCGTTATTAAAAACTTTGATCATTTTGACAGTTGACTGTCACTTGATTATCACGGAATCACATTTTATTTTATTGTTTGTTGTATGTTGTGTAACATTGATCCATATCGGATGGATTGTAATACATCAATACTAAGTATTGCTATTATTTCCTGCATGATCTCCGGAGAGAATCAAGGCTCCATCAAGCAAAGCCCGAAGGAATATCCCCCGGGCGCCATTAATATCTCTATCTATTTTTATATTGCAATTTTTGCATTTATATGTTTTGACCCTCCAATATTCTGAATATTTCCACACCAACTACATGCCTTTGACATGTAAGTTTCATTTTGAATTGTCACATAAATTTCTTTCTCTTCTGCTTTTGAAATCAAACGTTATCAAAACTTGTAATGAGACCAACAAAGCATCTTTCTAACTGTTTTTCTTCTTATTTTTCGTGTTTTTCTGTTTATCATATTTGAAATCTCAAAAAGAAAAATAATAATTCCATCAAATTCATTAGTTAAAAACTTGATTGTTTTTCAATGAATCTTATTTTGTAATTGTTTGATCTTTTTTTTGTATATAAAAGATAGCATTGCTAATATATAATGTTTTCTTTTTCTTTTTTTTGAGGTTGAAGATACCAGTTTATCTTTTTTGATATAAGACCATCTGTATATTTACATAAATAAAAAATACATCTTATATCATCTTTTTCTATTTTATATACATCTTTTGTTAAGGAATATTATGTTAATGAAAT